CCCTTCTTTAATTACTACATTAAATGGGAAGGTTTTAAAATTAGTTATTAACCCCTTCTTTAATTACTACATTAAATGGGAAGGTTTTAAAATTAGTTGTTAACCCCTTCTTTAATTACTACATTAACTTGGGAAGGTTAATGTAAATACAATGATAATAACATGATATTACTACACTAATCTCATCTGTCTCTACAATATCATTTCCAATAAGTGTACAACGACATTTCTGCAGCATATATTTGCATATCGAGTCTGCTGCAGACAAGACCAGAGTTAGTTTTGTCTTAACAAAACACAATTCTCAGCTGAAACAGCATGCAAGAGTACAAGTGAAACACTATTAGGCTCTCCTCTTATTGGAAACTAATAGATGCAACTAATATGTTTATTAACTCAAAATATTTAAACATGACATAAAAACAAACACAACAAATATGGGTACTTTACTCATGAAGCTATGTACTCCAAGTTTGTTTTATAACTTTTCATACATTGAATTAAAACATATATTGTATTAATTAATATGCTAATTTTGAGTTCTTTGATTCAGTTAATGAGTTATTGTGATGTAACATTACACCAATCAACAAATCGTGTATTGTCAGTTTAGGCAGTATTCAATATCTCTATTTCAGTTCTATTATAACTACTCATCTTACCAAAATGGTTTTTAATAGACTCATTTTAGTGCTAAAGACAAAATGAAACTGTAAAGAAAAATTACATTTGGTTCTATGTCTTGTTTTTAGTAAGTCACTCTTCAAGATCTGAATGTAGATTTGAGCTGTGTTAAATTTTTTAAAAACTTCTGTAAATGAAAATAATAAAATACTACTTTATTTTAACTTCATATCTGATGAATGCAGATATCTCATTAATCATCAAACTGAAATTAATACAAAAATAAATAAATGTTTGAAATCAAACCAAAATTACACATTAATAATCAGACTTGTTTTAGTAATGAGCCAAGCGAAATAAAGTTCAAAACACATCAATAGACTCACTTTCAGCAAGTATCTGGGGTTCTGTTGGTTTCAAGGAGGGCCGAAAGGGGTGGATTGAAGCCAGGTGGGGGAGGGACGCCTGGCCACTGTGTTGCTACACAACAGAACATAATGTACTCATGCAATAGCAATTCCGTCTTACAGAAGATAAACCACTGAATAACTTAACTTTACCTACTGGACATATGTCACATGAGTGCAGTGATGGAATCTGTGGCTCAGATCATGCAGTTCTTTTCAAGAAATAAACATACTAAAGAAAATAACATATGCTGCCCTGAATTTATAAAAACCTATAAACTGGATTAAAATATTTAGTTAAAATAACATATGCTGCCCTGAATTTATAAAAACCTATAAACTGGGTTAAAATATTTAGTGTAAAATAACATATGCTGCCCTGAATTTATAAAAACCTATAAACCGGATTAAAATATTTAGTGTAAAATAACATATGCTGCCCTGAATTTATAAAAACCTATAAACTGAATTAAAATATTTAGTTTAAAATGACATATGTTGCCCTGAATTTATAAAACCTATAAACCGGATTAAAATATTTAGTGTAAAATAACATGCTGCCCTGAATTTATAAAACCTATAAACTGGATTAAAATATTTAGTGTAAAATAATATATGCTGCCCTGAATTTAGAAAAACCTATAAACTGGGTTAAAATATTTAGTGTAAAATAACATGCTGCCCTGAATTTATAAAACCTATAAACTGGGTTAAAATATTTAGTTTCTTAAGCCATTAAAGAATACCAGCCATCACCTTTAAATCAACGGAGTACCAGCAACAGTTATAAATATTAAGGGATATTGTTGATACACAGAAATCAGTGAACACGGTTTAATAATCATCAAGATAATATATGTTTTGTTACACGGCCATAACCTTAAAACTATTGCTACTGTAATAATTTAAGGTTTCTACATTATTTTCAAGTCTTAGAAGTATTTTAACAGGTACTTGAAGTATATTTGGACCACAATCAACCAAGAACGGCAACGTGGACTTACCTCTGTAAGCAAACGGCATGGGTAACGGTACGTGATGGTTGTGATTATTTATAGTTCCGTCTTCTACGGTTAGCTGTTGAAGGGATTTCATCCAATGGGGCGGACTGTCCGAACGACCTAGGAAAACAAGATGGGCACCGTATTTAAATCCCACTTGTTTTTCTTTCCCATCATATGTTTTGTTCTTTGTTTATTCTCATTTAAGTGCTATTGAAATGGAATTTTAAATATAAAGTACTTAAAGAGTCTAAAAGCTATTACAAAGATATTATGTCTGGGGTAAATATAAATATTTTTAAACAGTGCACTCACTTGAAGAACAAATATAGAATTTTTTAAATAGGATATTGGCTCAGATAATATGTGCAAAACTCAAAGCAAAAATAAGAACAATCTCAACTCACTAACTCTTTAACGTCATCAAAACTGGGTGAGAGGTAGACTTAGAAGTTTGATACATTCTGTCTATTCCTAATAGCAAATTAATTTAAGACTATCCATACTTTTAAACTGTTGGCCAGTTCAAGCACCCACCATCCACACTAAGGTACTGAATGTCACTCTTATAAAACACCCACAGCTTAAAGTGTGAGGAATATTTTGTAGAATCTCACGAATTCAAACCCTGTTCACCAGTTCAGAAATCCAGAGTACAACAGGGCCTCACACATCCTATTTTTCCAATTATTTAGATAAATTATCATCTTGATAGTCATTGATTATTATTTCTGTTTATTATTTGTTCCAACGTGTCAATACAAACACAAGTCCGACTGGTTTCCTGCTATAGAATCAACATCCAAAGAACCTTGGTGCACTGGATGAAAATAAACAAATTAAAAAAAAAACCAAAAAATACTTACTCCAATTTTTTTTCTCTTCTCTGATGTATTAAATTTCCTGATAACTTAAGCAGTTATTTTGCCTGTCTTTTTCAAATCTCCACACACACACTCAAAATGTAAATACTCATTCAAACTTAACACATTGTGTTGCCCACCATAAAAGTACTACAGAAATTAGTTTTATTTATAAATACCCTAAACAAATATATTTTTGGGTACAAAACATGTATGAATTTTAAATCTTTCAAATCACAACTAATAAATGTGTTATCCAGGAGGTTAACACTAACACTTCTGAA